CTACTCTCTATGAGATCAACTTTTTAAGATTTGACATATGGAGATGTAGTAGTCTGTTTTCATAATGCTATAAAGAACTGCCCAAGATTGGGTGATTCATAAAGGAAAGAGGTTTAACTGACTCACAGTTCAGCATGGCTGGGGGGCCCTCAGGAAACTTACTATCATGACGGAAGGCGAAAGGGAAGCAAGGCACCTTCTTCACAGTCTTCACAGGGTGGCAGAAAGGAGCAGTGCCAGTGAAGTGCGAAGAGCCCCTTATAAAACCATCAGATCTCATGAGATCTCATTTGCTATCATGAAAACAGCATGGGGGGAACCGCCCCCATGATTCAATTACCTCCACCTTAGTTTCTCCCTTGACACACTGGAAATATGAGGATTACAATTCAAGAAGAGAATTGGGTGGGGGCAATAAAGCCTAACCATATCAGGAGTTCATGCAGTTTCTCTCTCTGTACTTGGCTTACTTCATTCAACGTAATTTTAATATGTGTATTAAGCATGCCTTAAGTGTTGTTTATTAAGTACATTGCAGAACTGGAGAGAGAACTAAAGTGGCCTTACTATGACAAGACGACAGCAATCTGATGTGTAGTGATAGCTAAGGTTTAATATTACCAAATACTTCTGACAAATTTTAAATTACTGGTTAATTGACAGCTGCCCATGTGCTTCATTAGTTAGAGAATATTTAGTTACAATTTCAGAGATCATTTTCAGTTTTAGTAGTTAATATCAGTCTACGATTTAATTTTGATAATTTGTCTGTGGGTCCATGACACAGAAAAATGGTCAAAATATTGTGTGCAATTATAGTAAAATGACTTTTAAATAATGCAAAGCACAGTGAAAAAATAATATTTTTCAAATAGGAGAAATCCTTGTGTTAGTGTCATAAGAGTTTTGTTTTTTAATTAGCCTAAAGTCCTTAAGAATTTCAGATAACATTCTCTTTTCAAATGCTACTTCTTTAAAAGAATTCAAATTATATTTGCTAAATATCTTTATTAAAGATCTAATCTTAAGTTATATAAGTTACACAGTGATGGTAGATAAGTTGGTGGTTTCCTATTTTCTCTAATACTAAAGTTAGGAGTGATAAAAGATCTTTCAAAGTACTTAAACTTTAAATTGTGCAGGAACATTTTTTTCAACAGCTTGACAATATCATATATTCATAAAATAGCTCTTTAAAAAACAAATTTGAATATTTATTTTGCTTACAAGTTTTGTGACATATTTGGAAGATGTTTGGAAAATTCAATAAAATAAAATATTATTGTAAACAAATTTCACATAAAACTTCGTAGCATAATTACTTTATTAGAGGTAAAGTTTTTCTCATCTCTCTTCTTCTTTCTCTTCTCTTCCTATTAATGGAAATAGCTACATTTTGATTGAAAAATAAAAATACCACTCTACTACAGTATTGTAGTATAGGGTTATCTTATATATATGATAGTTTTTAGCTTTTGCCATGTGGAAATGAAAAGCATGGATGATAATTTCCTTGAGGGCATGGTGCCTGTCTATTTTATTTACTATATTATCTGTGCTAACGCAGTAGAGCATAATAGTCACTTCTATTATGAACTCCAGTAAAATAACTATATAACCAAATCTCACTTCTGATTGCTGGTTTATACTTAAGACAATGTTTAGAATTTCAGTATTCCTTGCCTCCTTTAATAACATGAGTTAATTGCATATTTTTCTTGATCATTCACTTTAATTATGTCTATTATTTCTCATTGTTTTATGTTAATAGTTTGTGTCTTTTCTTTTTTAATACAATCATGCAGTTTCCTGGACTTAGCATCTGGAAATAAATTTCAAAATTTGAAGTGATTTTCCACCTTTTTTTGATAAGAAAAATATTAAAGTTGACTTTTAAGTGGAGTTTAATTTCTTTCTGTGACCAAAGGCCCATTAAATTGTCTTAAGACAATGGATGTGAACAGGTACTTTTCAAAAGAAGACATACATGAAGCCAACAATCATATGAAAAAAGCTCTACATCACTGATTATCAGAGAAACGCAAATCAAAAGCACAGTAAGTACCATCTCACACCATTCAGAATGATTACTATTAAAAAGTTGAAGAGGTTGCAAAGAAAAAGGAATGCTTATACACTGTTGGTCAGAGTCTACATTAGTTAACCACTGTGGAAGAAAATGTGGTGATTCCTCAAAGACGTAAAAACAGAAATACCATTTAACCCAGCAATCCCATTGTGGGGTATATACCCAGATGATTATAAATTATTGTATTATAAAGAAACCTGCATGTGTATGTCCATTGCTGTACTATTTGCAATAGCAAAGACACAGAATCAACCTAAGTGCCCATCAATGACAGACTGGATAAAGAAAATATGGTACATACACCATGGAATACTATGCAGTCATAAAAAATGAATAAGATTATGTCCTTTGCAGGAACATGGATGGATCTGGAGGCCATTATTCTCAGCAAACTAATGCAGGAAAAAAGAACCAAATGCAGCACACTCTCATTTATAAGTGGGAGCTAAATTATGATTACACATGGACGCACAAAGGGGAACAACATGCATTGAGGCCTATTGAAGGGTGGAGTGTAGGAGGAAGGAGAGGATCTGGAAAAGTAGCTAATGGGTACTAGGCTTAATACCTGGGTGACAAAATAATCTGCACAACAAAGCCCCATGACACAAGTTTACCTATATAACAAACCTGCACACGTATCCCTGAACTTAAAAGTTAAAAAAAGTCCTGAGAATATATTATTAAAAATGTTCTTTGAATATCACATCTTCTTTTATATAGATTATGTATGAAAAAGTAGGTAAAAATTTTTACCACTTGCTTTGGATGACTTAGAGGAGAAAGTGAGAGTTGAACTGTCTTGATTCCCTAAAGTAAGATAAATCCTTTCCGTATTGAGTTCCTAAACATCGTGACTGATGTTAGCTTTCCTAATGGACTTTGACGAGATTTTGGCAAAAGCTTTTATGTTCCTAAGTGTCATATGATTTCATATGAAAGCATAATTGTTTAGATTCCATAGATATATGATAATAGATAACTTATTATCCAAAGCCTATTTTGTTTATTCCTTTGCTGGAACAAACACCCAGGCAATGAGTCAATACAACCAATAAAAATGTTATATTTTTCCTTATAATTTTTAAATGAAAATTTTTATATTCAGGAATAATTTGGAAAAATTCAGCTCATAAGTTAATAAAAGTTGACATAGTCATCACTTGCCTAATATGAAACCAGTTTCTCAAAAACCTATGAAACTTTGGCAAGTACTTGACAATCTGGATGCATGGTTGATGATCTCATTCCACATTAAATATTAGAAAGATTTCCACCTTTTAAAATTTTGTTTAAAATATTCATGCTTGCAATTTATTCAGAAAGCATGAACATCCATATGTTTGACTTTAAGGGTTGTCAAGTTATGTTCATTTTTTTTTTTTTGCCAAAATAAGGTTTTATGTTCATTTTTACTTTAACAGCTGGTAATTCCTAGCACAAGGAAGATAAAGACTGTCACATTTCCCCCTCAGAACTAGCATAAATACAAATGTGGTTATTTTGTAAGGCCCTACTGATACCAGGGCTGTTAAATAATACTTGGAGTTCAATTTTGGGATTACTAGTATTGAAAACATTTAAAGAAGATGAAAGTCTATGGAAGCCTTATAACTAAATACTGAAGGAGGGACAGTTTCCATAATTCAAAATCAGGAGTGTTAACATTATCACAGTCAGTATAATTATAAATATGAGATTTGTGGAGATCTTATTTGTGAGAACAAGATCACAAAATCAAAGACTGAAAATTCTGCTATGAAAAGCTGAGACTCACCTGATTTCCCTTTATCCAAACAATAGCTAAAATACATACTTCAAAAGACTCCCTTAAAATTTTATTAATATTTAATGTTTATTGATGATGTAAATAAACCGTTGAGAGAATTATGATGTGAATTATAAAAATTAGCTGCATTGTGTCAAGTCAGAATATCTTGAGGGTAAAGAAGATAACGAAGTCATAATAGCAAACAGGTGTTATGTAAGACTTCTATGTATAATATTATTCATTGAAAAAGGGTGTCCTTTTTCTAAGGGGATAAAATTATGTGGAAATATGATATTTCTTTATTTTATATATGCCGAATAGCACTCTGGGCCTTTCCACAACTTATTTTAATGGATTAAATTTCTGTAGCTATTAAAATATATGAATTAGCATTTTGATATGCTGAGGACAATCATTATTTCTTGGTTGATGTGGTAGAAAAATGATTAAGTTTCAAATTTAGATGTTCTTGGTTTATATCCTATGTTGATATATGGCATAAGGTGGCCATGACAGAAATAGAAAGAAAATGTATGCTCAAACCTGTAGAGGCTTCTGAGGATGTGCCTATGTTGTGAGATAGTGCTTTGGATTCTGTTGGTGGGTGCATGGTTACTGCTATGGAGAGAATATTACCATACACATTAGGTAAAGGAATTTCTATTTGGAGTACAAGTGCTGATTACTTACCAAATGCAGAGCACAAATAAACATATGCTGGAACCATAATTCCAACAGGACAGACGATTTATCTAATTCTTTGAGAAGTTAGACAAATGCAAAAAACAGCAAATGTGTTAGATTTCTATTACTCTTTCCCAATAAGTGCTCTTTTTAGACAAAAAGGTGGCTATAAATTCTAACCACCTCATACTCTTTATGCTTTCTTCAATTTATTTTCATTACATGCTTTCTTGCTGTTCTCTCTGCCTAGAACGAATTTTTTCTGTCTTTATTTAATTGTCATTTACGTATATTTCAAATAGGTTTTTCTTAAATAAAGTCATTCTCAATCTAGCCGGAGGCAAAATTAACCACAGATCTCTAATTGTTCAGTTATTTTAAAAGTATCTCCTTATCCCTCTGTTTCCACTTTTAGATTATTTTTTCACAAAGACAAGACCATGCCATTTTCTACTGTCTTCAAACCCTCTCTTAAATATTTATTGAATAAAATCAGTTAATGTTTAATAGTTTTGTATTACTTTGTAATTCTCACACACACATTGTTAATTTATTTATGTGCATTGCTCAATATTCACAGTTTTAGTATCTTCTCTATAGCCAATTTCATATTGTTTCCAATGTCCAGTTACACTTTTTTATTTTTAAATTCTTCATAGATTTTGCTTCAGGCTTTTGTCCTGAAACTCTAAAATATAAAATGAAGACATTTATTTTATAATCCATTTAAAAGAAACCTCTTTCACATTGAAAGCCCACAAAAGTTATTGTATTAGTAGGTATTCTGTATTTTAACAAAAATTCAACATGAAGAAAGATTATTTGCCTCTCTTTTCTGTATATTTGTACACCACAAAATAGGTGGCCTATATGACACATTTCCACTATTTCATACTTCCATGACCTAATCTCAGCTGTAGTCCCAAAATCAGTTTGTCAGCAGCCTGCTGCTTAAATCTAATACCCTTGTCTCCCATTCATCTTAGTTGAAGTAGAATTATTGACAGAAATGATTTCTATAGGGAAATTAAGAATGATAATTAATGTGGTGCCCCTTACAGTTACTAAATGGCATGTCTATCTCTATTTGTGTTGGGGGAGGTGTAATAATGTCATCCAATTTAAATGAATTGGTATAAAATTCGGCACCAAGAGGCACAACTCCAGACATTATTAAATACGAGGATGATGCTGCATTACATTTAAGCAGCACCTGTTGAAAATTAACACCTAATAGGGTGCAATTGCTTAACGGTTTCCTCAAGAGGAAATCTGCCTTACATCTTTAATTCAATTCATTTTGCCTTGAAGAATTTGATGTATATTAATTCAGCTTCTGGCTGGAAACAGTGGCAAAAATATTTATTTGGTAGAAAGTAAGTGCCTTGGTTGTTGAGCAATCCTCTTCCACACCAGACACATTTCCCCCCACTATAGACTTCTGCTTCAAACACCTGCTTGCATTTTATTTTGTAGATATTACATATAATGAATTATTTGGCATCAAATTGATTGGCTGAGACTAAAGAGCTAAATATAAGCAAATATATTTATTTTTTAAATTAATTTTAATTTTAATTTGACATCTATATGGTTTGGATCTCATATCCAGTTGTAATCCCCAGTAGGGTCTGGTGGGAAGTGATTGGGTCATGGGTTAGATTTCTCAAGAATGGTTTAGTATCATCTCCTTAGTGCCATTCTTACCAGTGAGTGAATTATTGTGAGATCTGGTCATATAAAAGTATGTAGCACCTCCCTCACCTATCTTGCTCCTGCTTGGGCCATGCGATGTGTCTGTTCCTCCATCACCTTCTGCCATGATTGTAAATTTCCTGAAGCCTTCCCCAAAAGCCTAAGAGAAATCAGCATCATGTTTCCAGTACAGCCTGCAGAACTATAAGCCAACGAAACCTCTTTTCTTTGAAAATTACCTAGTCTTAGGTATTTCTTTACTGCAATGAGAGAATGGCCTAATACAGATATGATTTACACGTATTGTTTAAATGGTCAAACAGCATTTCAAGGCTTCTAAAATAACAATTTCCTATCCCACTCTTTCCTTGTAAATTCCCATCCCCAAGGTGGTTGTTTGGGTGTATGCTTGAGCAGTCTTACTGATTGCTTATGGACAGAGACTATTGGATTAGTTGGTATGTATGTAAGTTATTGGTTGTTAAATATTTTAATATTCAGCCTTACTCATCCCCCTCCATAGTTCTTATTCCAAAGGACCTTTTATAAAGGTCCTTTAATAAAGAATTAGAGATACATGATGGATGAAAAGGAAAAATGAGGCCATTATTATCCCAGAAAAATGGCAAAGTGTTATACAAGAAAGGAAATACATTTGTAATAAACTTGTTTTAGCAAGTAACATTGTTGATATAGTCATGACATTGTTAAAGCTGAATATTGATTTACCTCAGAGCCATGATATAACTATATTGGGAAGAACACAAGAAAAGAAAATGGTATGGGGTGTTAAAAGTGGTTAGATCACATAAAAGGCAAATAATTGATAGTGTTTAAAATTGATCAAGTATCCATGTAAACAGATTGCTTAGAAATGAAAGTACATAGCAGAAGAAACAGCTAAAGAATTTATTTCCTCTCTGCTCACTTAAAAATACACTTTTTCTATTCTTTTAGTAATAACACTAGAAATAAAAATTTGCACACTTTATTTACTAATCCAAACATACTTAATACTTTTGTCTTACTCTCAGACAATATTAGAACTGTAGAACATTTTATTTCCACTTAATGACCCTTTCCAGACTTACATGTTATTGGTTTATATACTTTAATTTTAATATTTAACAACAAAACATGTGATTGTTTTATTTTTCACTTGCTTTTTTCTCCATTCCTAGGATTACCATTCTTCTGCCTAAAGTTCCTCCTTTTTATGAGACAAGTTATGCCTTAGCTTGGGTGAAAGACAGTGTTTGTGCTGGGCACTGGGAATCTTTTATGCAGAAGAAATCTTACAAGGCAGCATTTTAAAATAAAACATGAAGATGTAGAGCTTTCCTGACTGAATTTAGGCACCTAAAATCCTGTGTAGACATTGCTTTAGTCATCTATAAATTGAAGCTTTACAGAACAAAATGGGCATTTTTCTCATCTAAAATTTTCAATTATTCAACTATCTAAGATCTCCTCACTCTTCAATATGATCTATCAATTTGCCATTATCTATAATTGAATGACCTGCTATTTCTTTCATTCATATATAACTCCTTTATGATTTTCCCAAATAAATAGCCACAGGATATAAAAGAGAAGGAAGCATAATGTCATATCACAGATGTAAAATGTTGCCAGTGACTTCTGTCCTTATCTCAGACTATTGGTACTTTTAGTGGTGATGGTGAAGCTAGTTTCTTATAGCATCTATATTTTACAGGAACCCAAGGTTTTGGAGGACTCACATAGCATGCCTTTAGAAATACAAGTATTCCCTAAACCCCAAGGGACAGCACTAACATTTTTTTCTATGTGAATAGTCCCTTAAGAACTCCAGGAACTTCAAAACATTTATATCCAGGCTTTTGCTATATTTTGATTAATAACCCTTAACATGGCACCCAAGTGACAATCCACTAGCCTAAAGTCCTGCACAAATTCTTTTTTTTTTTTTTTTTAATGACAAAAGAACAAAAGAAAGATGGCAAAGAAGATACAGGGAAAGAGAAATGAAAGTTGTTTTTGTTTTTTGCTTTGTTTTGTTTTTAAGAATGGGGTCTTTCTATATTTCCCATACTAGTCTTGATCCAGCCACTGAGTAGTTGGGACGCCAATGGCATGTCATCATCAAACAACCCCAGTCAAATTTTGACACCTGGTTATAGCTCCAGTCATGAGAGCAGACTTTAGGAAATTACAAGATGCAAGCTCAATTAATAGCATGGTATTCTCTTAAAATCATTAGAACATTAGCCATAACAATGGGCATGTATTGCTTGCTGCAGCTGTCTTTTTGTTTCAGGAAGCTCACTGCACTCCCAAAGGGGGAAAACATACAACACAATTACTTGACTTCCCTTTCCATTTCCTGCTTAAAATTTTTTTTCTTTTGGTTTGCTGAAATAAAAAAATCATTGATTGATACAGTTGTATGTTCACAGTAGGTGATGCAACTGAGCTCATTTTCACTAATAATACATACATCCACTGAAGGGGCATTTTTTGAAGGAAGAAAAGGCACTTTCACAATCAATCAAACTCTATTTCAATTTTTTCCTGTGTAGTAAAGTTAGAATTACAGTTATCCTGAAAGACTATATAAATAACATCCTTCTTTCTACTTGTCTACCTATAGATTTCTTCACAAGTGTGGGCTCTTCGGAATAAATAAGACAACTATGTCATTGGTTTGACTCCATTTTTTCCTTTAAAAATCTTGACTACATCTCTGTAGAAAGAGAAGAAATAATTTCTTTATTTCTTTTGTTATAATGTTTATTATAAGGAAAAGTAACTTTCAAAATCTTCCAATCAAAGTTATTATTCTGAGATTTTAATTCTTTTAGAGGACTGAAGCACTTACATTTCTACCAGCATTAACTGTTGCTGCTTGCATTTGTATCCCTTTCATCCCTAATGGTACTCCAACTTATTTATCATTTTTCCATTCCTGAGGCACCTTTGATTCCTTACTTTTTTATGTAATACATTTTCTCACCCACCTCTTCTGATTCTATATTTACCCATTTTCATTTGGACAGTTAAATATGGTTAAAAATCTCACTTAACTGCTACTGAATTTAAAGACAGAAAATATATACATGCTACTATTCTAAAATTGGTAAACAAAGTGAAATGGAGATGTTATACAATGTATGCATGTATTTCATTTTCAGATAGGACCACATATTTTGAAGATGAAAGTAATGAAATGGTCACTGTAACTACCTACATTAATTAATATGAAATGTACCACATATTCAAATATGTGTACAAATAGCTAGATTTATTCCATAACCTTCCTCACTGGTTGCAAAATATTTTAGTAACTTCTGTATTAAACTAATCGTATAACCTTTTAGTGGCTAAAATTTTAATCACTAATCTAGTAGATCTTAACCACTAATATAACTTAACCACTAAGTTATATTTCTATCCACATTTTAAACATTTGCAAATATAAATATGCACCCTTTTTTTTTAAAGTTACAATAATATTTATAAGATGGCACTAAAAAGTACCTTGTTTCATGGTGTAACAAATAATTAACTGTCTTCTAATTATTTATTTCTCTTTTCTCAGTTTCCAAAAGTTCTCAATTTCCACTGAGTGATACTTGCAGTTTTAGAGAAACTGCTTTCACTCTGGACTACAGTAGTGGAATACGTAGACTACAGTAAGTATCTTATTCCATATTTCTAACTTAAGTAAGAAGTAATGTGTGATTTAAGCTGTTCTAATTAAAATAAACAACAGAAATTCTGTTGGGTATATTGGGGTTAAGATTCATACATTTCATCTCTCATTATTTTAAAAATAAGTAATATAGAATATGCAGAATTTTCTGATCTGAAGATGTAGACTGGGTCACAATAAGAACAAATACCACTTATATTAGTCATCTTGCATTAGGTTATGACACATAGCAAGCATCTCTTAAATCTGGATTGCTTATGACAACAAAGTTACATGGCTTCTCTAATTACATGTCATCTGTGGGCCACTGCTAATCAGAGATAACCCAAGTTTACTCTTTTTCTATGAGTGTTTTTCATTTGAAGATTCAGGTGGAAGAGCAGTCTCTATTTGGGCCATGCAGTTCTTCTGGAATAAGTAAAATAGCTGCTAAGTGAGCCCAACCACTCGAGTGTTCAAAGCTTCTATTTGGTTGTGGCATACTTCACATCCGTTCACCTTCCATTAGCCAAAGCATATCACATAGTGAACTCCAAGATTAATTGGGCAGGGTAATTAGGATGTTAATAAGTAAAGTCAATTTGTCTTTATGTATAACTGGTATAACTTTCTGAAATTTTGCACCTACCAAGAGATAATAGTCATTAAAAAGTAAAGTACAGTTAAATGTTATTAAAAGTTGGATTTTAGTTTTAATTACTCAGAGAAAAATGATGTCACTTTAAATAATGATTTGCCTTTGGTTTTAATGAGAGAAATTTGCAGTAAGGAGTTCTGAAACATCCAGTGGAACTTCTCTAAATTTACCAAATGTTTCTCCAGATGTCTATAAGTGTCAAATTAAACTTGCAAATTATTTTGCTTCATGTGGGGTTTTTAATTGATGAATCACACATTTTCTTCTTTGTTCAAAATTTGTGATGTTTGGTAATTGATAATAGTATACAGGAAAATTTATTTTCCATAAATTTACTTTTCCAGTATAATCAAGAAATACTTTTTTCCAGTATAATCAAAGCATGCCCTTGCAGCTTTCAATATGTACATGTTGTGGTGAATGACACCTATTTTAAATAAAGTTTCCATGTTGCTTTATCAACAGATTATGTAAATTAAAAATTATTCAGTTGACCACATTTTTTCTTTTAAAGTGAGAAGAACATTGCTATGTATATTAGAAAATTCTTAAGGCATATGTGAGTCCAGATTTGTTTGCTTGTTTAAATATAACTTCATTAAGCAAATTTGGCAAATATGTGTCTGACAATTATACCTGAAATTTTGCTATACAAATTAAAAACAGAGGTAATAAAATATATTTTGTATTGCTTTATGTATTAATTTAAAAACTACAATTACATAGTCATCAGATTATAGAAGGCTTAGAAATAAGTAAAAGGAAAGAAAGTCATGGAACTAAGCCAGAAGTGGCAGTGCAGATAAGGGTATCAGGTGGCTTACATA